CTATTAACCGCATGAGAGACTGCACCACCGTTGCAGTCAGGTGCGATGCGCGCCACGACTGGCGCGTCGTGCGCGTGCATCGTTCCACGATTAATCGGGAAGGGCTTCTCGACCCCCCAGATCGATCAGACGCGTGATTGCTCTCTTAATTTTTCATCATTGTACGAAAGACACCGCGGCGCCTCTCTGGTCTGCTGTACACCTTGTCGTTACTTCATTGTTGCTACCATCATGATTGTTGCATCCCGTAACACGAAAGAACGTTACGATGTTTGAATCTTAAGTCTTGTATCGAATAATAATTGCAGCTGTTGTTATTACTCGAGCTGTACATCTATATACACAAGTATAAGATTAAGACTTCCTTAGGCACGGAATTCTTGACTGATGACGTCAGAAAGAAGTGGAAAACGCGTGTCCAAAATTCTTACGTGCTACTTACAAATAAGAAGATATTTGCATAAAAGAACACTTGGATATCGCTCTTGAATATACTAATAAAATGCTTCATAAAACTATCCTTTTCCCTCGACAATCAATAAGTAGCCGTAAAACGTGACACGCAACCTTCCTTTAACTCTTTAACTGAAACTTTAAACACGGATAAGATTTACCCAGAGTAACTTTTCAATCACTACTGTTTTTAAAAACATGTTTTGTTTTTACATTGTAACTTTTTTTAACTTTATTGCATCGCAAAAACAAATTCATATTCCCGATTTATCAATCGCATTCAATGCATTTTTTATATTTTTGGAGGTTTTTCCTTTGGCTCCTATTTCTTTTTCTCAGCTTGCTGTTACTGTTTCTGCTGTTACTGCTTTTCTTTTTCTTCATGTTCTTTTATATTCTTTTATCTTAGGAGATTTCTTAATCTTCTTGTTTCCACCCAGATTATCATGTAAAGTGTTTTGACTCAGTGGCAAGCATATGTTTTTTTTACACCAATTCAAGAAAAAACATTAAATTTTGATTATTTTTACGAAAGTTACGAGTAAATAAAAATGTACTGGGCAATATTTACCCATATTTAGAATTTACTATCTTAATTTTTTATGTTTAATTTTTAATTTTTTATATTTAAGGTTCTAGAGTTATCATTTCTCATAATTTGGTCACGTTATTTTTACTATTTATTGACTGTCAGGGAAAAGGAATAATTTTCGAAGTATTTTTCTAGCATGCACAAGCGATCTAAAATGTTCCTTCGTTCTTTTCATCTGGAAATGACGCGCAAGAATTTTCAGCGTGTCTTTTTTCATGTATGACATCACGATCCAATATGGTCGCGGCGAGTATCCATGAGCCTCAAGTGATATGACAAGATGGAATGTATTATAACAACACGTTAACACGTCTTCGCTTTTAACATACGACACCGACAGTTTAAATTAACACACCTATATATATGTTCCAACTTCATATATTGTCTCTTAATGTTACCTCCATGTCATTTTTTTAATATTAGGAGACTTTAATATTAAGATACTTGAATTTAGAACACTTTTTCCAACACATTTACAAATGTTAATTTAAACTGCCAGTGTGCTAAATGTAGAGACATGTTGTCGCAACACAATTTATTTTGCAGTGTATTTGTTTATGTATCGACATTCCGATAATCGCGAAGCTGCAAAGAAACAAATGTGAACGCGACAAAACAATTACTCTACAGGGAGAGGTGAGGGACAAAGTAAACATATTGTGTGTACCTACAATGGATCGCAAAACGGTTTAGACACAATGAACTTCAGAAGATAACCGATGACTCAATGAGAGAACTTATTTTTGAATAATTCGTTCTCTTATTAGACTATTAGCTGCGCTCTGAAGTTCATTACGTCTAAATATTTTTGCATAATTAGTTGCAAAACAATTTAGATATAATAAAGTTAATATTGGAGGAAATTGTCAAAACCGAAAGTCCTGACGTGTTTGCGCAATAATTATGCACTGAGAAAAAAATTTTTTTAATTAATAAATTTATTAAGTTAGATATTTATTAGATGAGTACCATCAACATATTTATTTAAATAAAAATTCTCTTTATTTAAATAGAATATTGTTTACTTGAAACAATATTCTATTTAAGTTTAAATAAAAAAGATTTTTATTTAAATAAATAAATTAATGGTTAATGGTATTCACCTATTAAACATTTGTTAATTTTTAGTTATTTTTTCTTAGTGTATTACTAATTATTAATAATAATGACAATATAATAATTTATTATTACTAATTATAGTTTTACTACATCGGTGCAGTGACGGCCGATTTTGACAGTCTGGTAAACTTCCAACTTCAATGTGTCTAAGTGACTTTATAACCGTCTATACGTTGTTTCGCACGATGTTCGTCAGGTTAATTACACAAGGGGGCGGGATTTCAGGGTGCTTTCTGACGGCGATCAGGAGGGTGGCGCAGGCGCGAGACTTTCGTAATCCCTTCGAGAGGGAAACCGACGCGGTTCGGGCAATTTGCGGGAGGAAGGACCGAAGTTTCCTCAGTGCTTCCGCGCGCGCCGTGCACTCGCAATCGCCGCGAATTCTCGCAGGATGCGCTTCGTCTCCGCAGTCTCGGCGAATCACCTTCACTAAGCCCGTGTGCGTGAAAGAACGTCCAGCAAAATCAATCCTTTCTCCTTGGACTCGCTTGGATATATCAATTGCTGCGGTCGATTGATTCGCCGTGAAGTGAGCCGCTCGTAATTCGCTCGCAATTATCTGCACGTGATCGAGATGCAATTTATTCGCGATTATCGTCCCCGACGAGAAGGCTGATACCGCCTTGGGTCTCGCCGTCGCACTAGAAGGCTATTAGCCGAACATTAATTCGCGACAAATCAACAGTGAATTATGAAGGCAGCCTCCCGGATAGAGCAATATTTTCGTTCGTCTTGAGTGGAAAACGAGGATTACGCGGAACGGCACACGATGTAAACAGCGAACGAATTCTTCCGCTCTGTGTGCTCGACGATATTGCGCGCGTTAAGTGCTTCCAGACTTCGCGACCACGAATTCTGTGATTCTTGTGCGCGAGTCCACGTCGTAAATTTATCCGCCACAGGGGACTCCCGCGAGAATTTCATTTGTTCTGCAAACAGCGGAACGTCAACGCTGGCACCTGTATGACTCTCTTGTATGACTCTCAATTTTGACAGTTTGCTGAACTCCCAACTTGATTATATCTCACACATAATGTGATTCTCGTCAATAATGACTTTCAATTTTGATTATTTTGTGATAGACATACATCGTCCCTCAAAAAATATTACCGAAATTTGAAACATAAAAATGTGCTGAAAAGTCATAAACTCGAAATTAGAGTTTAGCCAAGACAAGAGTCAATTTCTCGAAGAACAATTTCCTTGAAGTATTAAAATTAAGCAATAAAAACTATAAACTTGAAATTCGAATAACCAGATAATTGAATTTAATTATTACGATCAAAACAATATTTTTGAAATATTGAAAGTACATAAAATTCCAGAAAGCTGTAAACTCGAAATGCGGAAACCGAGATAATCCTGAAAAATAACTCTCTCTGTGCATATAGCGTAATATACAACATCCAACAATCTTTATATATTTAACATAAACAAAACATAAACTTAATATATATATATATATATATATATATATATATATATATATATATATATATGTGTGTGTGTTAATTTTCGAAATATTCAAGAGTTATAAATCTATTTTAAATCTATTATAAATGTATTATATTGTATAGATTTAAATTTTATTATATATATATATATATATATATATATATATATATATATATATAT